TACTCATTTCATGTGTATGTACTGTATTCTACTGAATTCTAGTCAATGCCACTCTGACATTGCTCATCCTAATATTATATATTTCTTAAACCCATTTATTTGTTAAATACTACTGCACTGTTGGAGCTAGGAACACAAGCATTTCGCTACACCTGCAATAACATCTGCTAAATATGTGTATGTGACCAATAACATTTGATTTGATTTTGACTTGAAAACTTGTGAGACGACTCAACTTTACTTACTCTTAGAATGGACAACTTGGACTTGACTCGAGTCTTGACCCGTTCTACTTGAGACTCGGACCTTGTGACTGAAGACTTGCTCGAATATTAGTGACTTGGTCCCACCTCTGCTAAACAGTGTAAGCCATGTCTAAGCCGGGGGGTTCTACTAAGCTACATGGAATTGTTTTAAGAAAGTCATACCAAGGATCATTTTGCTATTGGATTTTGAATTTTAAGACCCCTTTAATTATCAAAAAATATGTTTTTTTAATTACTTGATGAAAAAATGTATTTGGCCTTACTGCTATTAGCCCATTCGAACGCATTGAATAACAGATTCACCACATGGAACAACAGATAGTCCCCCCCAAGAAAATCTAAAGGAAGTTTGTTCTGAAGTGTCTGTCCTATATCTGAGAGATATATGAAAGATTAGGTTTATTTTTTAAAACAAATTTACATGTATTTAAACCGTTTTTTATGGCACTAAACAGTCTCAGTTTCATTTTTTTCAACTGGTACCGGGGGACCTTCAGACTTGTGATGCCTCTGGGCGTCCTTGTGATGCCTGTGGGGGTCTGTGTTTGTGAGAGTCTCACCTTTCCACAGAAGGGTCATATTAGTGTGTAGGCGAAACTGTTCGGATGCTACAGACATAAGTTGGCAGATTGTCTGTCCCAACTTCACACAAGTACCAAGACACAAAACTAAGAACATCATCATATTTGTGAGAGTCTAATCTTTCCATAGAGGGGTTATAATAGTTTTTAGGCCAAACTGTTCGGACGCTACAGACAATTTTGTGAGAAGACCGATTTCCGGGATGACTCATGGTCTGACAAACACCGCTCTAGCTCTGTCAACTTTCACCGCAGATGCAGAAGTGCGACATAGGCGGATGCGGTGGATTGAGACGCATCCAATGCAAAAAGAAAAACAGATATCTCGAGCTTAAACTGACAGATTTTCATGGGGATTTTTTTATTATGCTAATTCAATTTCTGTGGGGGCGCAGAAATCGACCTTAGTGGGTTAAAGACAAAACTGGAGGAAATTGATACAAAGAACAGAAATGATAATGTGTGTTGTTGATTTGACTTGAGAATGTGCTGAATGGTTGAACGCAAAACCATGACTTATAAATAACTGTTTTTAAATTGGTCCTTCGTGTTAGTCTCTAGCAGCCTGTTTCCCCCACAAGAATATCCACAAGCTGTCATGGTACTCTCCTAATGGAAGACACAAGAACCAGATTGACCAAATCTTGATGGTCCTGATGGTCAACGGCAAGTGGAGAAGCTCGCTGAGGGACGTCAAGGTGTGAAGGGGGGCAGATGTTGCCAGTTACCACCATCTTGTGACTGCCAACATCAAACTAAAACTAAACTAAAACATTCAGGACCACCAACAAAAGGAACACCAAGATTTGATGTTGTCATGCTGAGGGACCAAACCGTCAAGAAAACCTTCATAATGCAAATTCGCAAAAAGTATCAAGCCCTTTCAAACAACACAGAAGAAGATGAGGAAGAGACTGAGGAAAATATATATAGGAAGTGGGAGAAAGTGGTTAAAGCTTACAGTGAAAGCAGCAAGAAAACCATAGGACACATAAGAAGGCAACACAAGGAATGGATCACCCCAGAAACATTGGAAATTATAGAAAGAAACATCTACCTTTCACACAATTTGTCTCCGGAGAATCATGCACATCTTCTTGCCAAACACAATATCAAACACCAACCTCCTTAGACAAACGAAGCAGGAAGCCATGGATGCCATACTCGATACGCTGCTGGAGCTGGATTGGACACGTCTTGAGAAAGAGTACAGACTCCATCCCAAGAATAGCTGTCCATTGGACTCCAGAGGACAATCGGAGAACAATCGACACTGAGCTCCAACAACATCAGTAAAGCTGGTGCACATTGGAAAAGACGGCCAGGGACAGACAGAAATGGAATGCCTTTGTTGATGCCCTATGCGCCAGCCAGCGTGACGAGGATGAGTGAGTTAGTCTCTACTTCACTCTGCTTGCTCATCCCAGATCCAAAAGAACCCGTCACTTTCCAGCTCGTGGCATGATATACTGCATACAACATGGTATGGTGGTTTAGAGTAGGTTAAGTGGCAGGAGATTACTTATGTTATAGTATAGGTATGATGATATCACAGATGGGGAATAAGATTTATTTTTCCTTCTTTCAATAAACCTATGGAGATTTAGCTGTCATATGAACCGTACAAGCTTTGAATTGATAAAATACATCATAAACAGAATCCCCATTGTCTATTTATCCTTTTCCCAAATAGATGTACTTTTTTGTTACCAGTCTATACTCTGTGACAAACATATTTAAAATCGAATCTATCTATATAGATACACTGCAGTGGTGTGTGGGTGTGTGTGTGTTTGCATATCAGCACTGATATTGCCCTGTCAAAGAGTGCATGTAATGTTGCTGAGACCAGGGAAAAGGCACAAATTGCTGTCTGATATCAATTAAATCCTAACCACAAACATAAGGCAAGCAAAACAAACAGTCTGAAGCATTCCATCACCACAGGGGCTCTCATGAGACAACACTGCACTTAAAATGTTTGCCATTCAGCAGACACTCTTATCCAGAGTGACTAAGTGCCTTGCTCAGGAGAACATCGACAGATTTGTCACAGTCAGCTTTGGGATTCGAGCCAGCAACCTTTCAATTACTGGTCCAATGCTCTTAACCGCTAGGCTACCTGCCACCCTACCTGCTGCCCACATGTAAAGTGATTACAGTCAACCTCTTGCATAAGAAACGTCAACACTCATTACATAAAGTAAATTAGGAAAAGCTCAGTTTAGAAGGTACTGACAGTGGATCTGGAGTTCCATTGTTTCCTTACTAGAGAAAAAAACATGTCCTGAAAGTCAAAAAGAACAGTTGATTGAGTAAGTGTATTGGATGGATAAAATTGTTGACAAACAAATGTGAGTTGAGCTATAAAACGAAACACAACACAACTCAAAAATGAACGTTATTCTCAATTCACCAAGAAACGTATAGCAGAAACGTAGTGCTGGATTCAATGCGTATCACTGAAGTATCGCTGAAGATCCGCATTGACATTGAAAGGTCATTTCCGAATGAGCCGACATTTGCAGCATTTACTGTGAATGCAGTCTCCGCCAACGTGGGAACATTGCCATTAAATTTAATTTGAGCTATAACGATACAGATGGAATTGAGCCCCTACATTAGACACTGCGTTTCTGTAACACAAAGAGTTCTTCTGACCAATTTTGCCTACGATGAATAACACATCATCTCCCTCCCCTATTCAGTGTGAGAGCACAATATCACAGGCAATTTAATGATCATCTGCAGAAGAATTGTCGCTGTCACAGAGTCGCAGGGTGATAATTATTGGGAAGCATGATTAGTTTCTGACTGAGATATTAATGGACTGTCAGTAATGAAACAGGCTCTAACCTACAATTATCACACAAAATGACCCATACTGGGAGTCTAACTTAAAAGCTCGGCTATCAAAAGAGGGCGATAACTTTGTGATTTCTCCATTTGCTTTCAACTTTAACAAGACTTGTTGATGTGTTGAGAGTTCGAAGTTGTGTGCATTCATACAAAATGACCCATACTGGGAGTCTAACTCAAAAGCTGGGCTATCAAAAGAGGACAATAACTTTGTGATTTCTCAATTTACTTTAAACTTGTACAAGACTTGTTGAGGACTTGTTCATTCTTCTTGTCAGCCATTTTGATCATAAACTCACTTTGTGAAACACATTTTGAATAAAGAAATGAACAGCTTTTCACAGATAGCTAAAGTATATTTACAAGAGACAAGGTTGGAGTGCTAAATCCAACATATTTAACATGACATTTACATGCCAAATGGACAAATAAATAGCACACTCAGTATCAGCTATTTGAAGTCCAGAATCATATACAGTAATGTAATTGCATCCCTGGATATGAACACAATCAAAACTAGGCTACTGGAAAACCAACCCTCCAGACCCTTTACAGTATATATTTGCAAAGAACTCTTATTGATTCAAACTAAACTAGCTCTGTCTATGAGAGTGTAATATGTAATACAGTACTACAGTAATATTATTATTATTATTATTATTATATAGTACTACAGAGGCACCAGTGTGTGTAGACAAGTATACAAACTCACCCTAGATTTATGTACAGTATACATTTCCAAAGAACACTATATGATACTACCTTTAAAACATTATGTAGGAAATCTACAGAAATACTCCTCAGAGGTTTTTGTATCCTCAAGAAGCATTATAAAGTAAAAGGGATGTTGTTGGATATTTTACAGCCATTTAAATCAAGCCTGTTATGTTTTTATTATTGTTGTCCCTCTAAATAGAGCTATAAAAAGCAGCGAGCGACGGGTGGACTGTGCCAGCCTGACATTTTAGGGAGTCCTGTTGGAGTAGTAAAGATGCCCATATGATGTATGCAGCGCTATGAGGATGCTGAGGACACCAAGAGGAATGCTTACAGAGAGAGAATTAAGAGAGAGGGAGAAAGACGAAGAGAGGGACATTGGGGGAAAGAGAGAGGGAGAGAGATGGCTAGGGGGAAGGGGAAGAGATGAACAGAGAGAGGGGTGTTATGAGCGAGCAAACAAGTAGCCGGTAAGAATAAGACAGAGAACATGACACAGAGAGAGAGAAGGAGACAGAAAGAGAGAGCACTAGAAAGAGAGTAGGCAGCACAGACAGACAGCTAGCTAGCTGTGATCTCATAGTGCCGGCTCAGGCTGAGGTCTGTAGAAGACCTGTCCAGAGGCCAGCCTGCGTTTCAGCTCCTTCCACAGCAGCTCCCTCTCCCTCTGGGAACCCTTCATGAAGCCCCTGTTCTCCTGGGCACGACGGGATAGGTACGGTATCACCTCGTTCACCGGCCCGTATGGAACATACTTATAGACAGGGAAACCTGCCTGGCCTGGTGGAGAGAGACAGAGGGGTAGAGAATTAAATTTATTGGGGCAGATTTTCAGTACAAACCAAATAAATATTATACTTGGCTAGTGTAATGGAATTAGTGAGTTGGGAATCTACTCAACTAATCGTGCACTTAAATTTTAGACCACACAAAGTTGAACAGGTTGTATTTTTGCTAGGCTAGAGCAAAAGCCTGCACATCCTGTGGCTCCCCAGCACCTCAGTTGATCACCAAGATTTAGTCCAATATAATGTATTTGATTGACAAACTAGTGCTGTGAGCCAACAACAGTCATGGCCAATTTGTATCAGTGCAAGTCCCAGAACATAATCTGACTGCCACGTGTAACTCCATATGTACACATTGAATGGTAAAGAGGTTCCATGTGTCAACACAAATAACTGACTGCTATTGGGAAATGGCCAATACTAATCCTATGGAATCCAAACAGGGCCAATAGGCCATCAAATCAGCAGTGCTCTGTGAGGTCAGAGAGCTCCGTTTGTCCCTGCGTCCCAATAATCTGTCCTTTAGGCATGGCAAGTGCAAACTTGGACTATTGGGAAGCTAACCAATCAATCAATTAACCAATCAATCAGTCAGTCAGTCTCACCCAATGGGAAGCTGATTTGGTCACACATGCCCAGCAGCTGTCCGAAGTACACCTTGTTCTCCGTGGGAGTCAGGCCCAAGTCATTCATCCTGTGTCAACAAGAGGAAAAGTATAACAGTTATCTTTGTATGGTATATGACAGTGATGTCCATGAAACTGAGAGATGAGGTACCTGGGCATAGAGACTTCCTTTGGACACATTTTGTTACTGCATGTGCAAACAGCTCGAGCTAGCTCTAGTGGTGAAAGGGACCCGTTAGCTTTCCACATACATAGTATGTGCTTTGAGCATGAGAAAAGCTCGATAGAAATGCAATAACCACATGTGTTAGAGTTTGAGCAGGAAAACTAGGCAGAGAGCCATCCTCAGTGTGTCTGTGTCAAGCCAAGGCCATGCAGTGCAGTGATGAGACTTGCCTCCTGATGGTGTGCTTCACTGTGTCCTCGTTGTGAGAAGCAACCATGACATTGGCATTTCTGTTCAGTCCAATCTCATCCAGGACGTAGTCTAGACACCTTACAAAGTACAGACATGACAGACATGTTAAGTAAACGGCAGGTAGCCTAGCGGTTAATAGCGTTGGGCCAGTAACCGAAAGGTCGCTAGTTTGAATCACTGAGCCGACCAGGTGAAAAATTGGTCGATGTGCCCCTGAGCAAGGCACTTAACCCTAGTTGCTCCTGTAAGTCACTCTGAATAAGAGTGTTTGCTAAATTACTAAAATAAACAAATGCAAACCATGGTGCTCTCTGTGTGAAACAATGTTACACAGCTGTGTCTGAAATGGCACCCAATTCCCCATAGTGCTTTACCTTTGGTCAAGTCAGAGCTAGAGAGTTTAGTTTATAGGCCATTCAGCACCTTAACAGGTTCTTAAAAACAATTGCTATTAAATACAAATTGAAGAATGTATTAAGTATGTATTTAAGCACCGTGAGTAACTAAATACGCACATCCATCCCTTACCTGTGGTACATCATGTTAGTGGTCTCATAGTCAGGGTTGATGGGGTCCTCGTATCCAATCTCCTCCGCTCTGCTCCTCTCCTGGTACATATAGGCCCCACGCACCAGCTTGGCCCCAAAGAACCATCCCTCACGCCTCGACAACTCAACATCCATGGTCATGATATCATAGGCCTCCTACAATGGAAGAGAGAGTGAGAGGGAGGAAGTAAAGGAGGGATATTAGGGACACCGGTCATCTGGATAATAATGGCATATAAGCTGTTTATAAGAAAACCTTCAAATGAAGTGTTTCAGAGAGTTGCAGGTAAGACATGACTACATACAGTATGAGCATAGAAACTCAGTGACAGGATGTCTCCTCTCTATCTGAATGCACGTGTTGTGTAAAAGGGTCTCTAGTAGCCTCAGCTCCCAGGCTTCAACTTCCTTGTGACGTGACAAACAAGACTTGGAAGGAAGGCAACGAGAGACGAATGGTTCTCTAACCTTGAGGTAGCACTGGTAGGTGTTGAAGATGACAGGTTTCCCTCTATTGTAGATCCTCTGCATCTCCACAGTCAGTGTGCTGATGGCGGGCTGGAAGTAGGTCTGCTCTGCATCCACCATTAGACGAACACTGTGCTCCTCTGCATGCTGCAACACAGACAGCCAGAACAGGTGAGTTCCACTTCAATCCACACATGAGCTCAGAGCTTTTCTCAATAAACCAAGGAAACTAAAGTAGTAGCTAATTATGAGATGATAAGATGACGTGGCATTTTTTTATTAATTTTTTATTTAACCTTTATTTAACCAGGTAAGCCAGTTGAGAACAAGTTCTCATTTACAACTGTGACCTGGCCAAGATAAAGCAAAGCAGTGCGATAAAAACAACAGTTACATATGGAATAAACAAAAACAAAACATACCGTCAATAACACAATAGAACATCTATATACAGTGTGTGCAAACTTAGTAAGTTATGGAGGTAAGGCAATACATACAGTGGGGAGAACAAGTATTTGATACACTGCCGATTTTGCAGGTTTTCCTACTTACAAAGCTTATAGAGGTCTGTAATTTTTATCATAGGTACACTTCAACTGTGAGAGACGGAATCTAAAACAAAAATCCAGAAAATCACATTGTATGATTTTTAAGTAATTCATTTGCATTTTATTGCATGACATAAGTATTTGATCACCTACCAAACAGTAAGAATTCCGGCTCTCACAGACCTGTTAGTTTTTCTTTAAGAAGCCCTCCTGTTCTCCACTCATTACCTGTATTAACTGCACCTGTTTGAACTCGTTACCTGTATAAAAGACACCTGTCCACACACTCAATCAAACAGACTCCAACCTCTCCACAATGGCCAAGACCAGAGAGCTGTGTAAGGACATCAGGGATAAAATTGTAGACCTGCACAATGCTGGGATGGGCTACAGGACAATAGGCAAGCAGCTTGGTGAGAAGGCAACAACTGTTGGCGCAATTATTAGAAAATGGAAGAAGTTCAAGATGACGGTCAATCACCCTCGGTCTGGGGCTCCATGCAAGATCTCACCTCGTGGGGCATCAATGATCATGAGGAAGGTGAGGGATCAGCCCAGAACTACACGGCAGGACCTGGTCAATGACTTGAAGAGAGCTGGGACCACAGTCTCAAAGAAAACCATTAGTAACACACTACGCCGTCATGGATTAAAATCCTGCAGCGCACGCAAGGTCCCCCTGCTCAAGCCAGCGCATGTCCAGGCCCGTCTGATGTTTGCCAATGACCATCTGGATGATCCAGAGGAGGAATGGAAGAAGGTCATGTGGTCTGATGAGACAAAAATAGAGCTTTTTGGTCTAAACTCCACTCGCCGTGTTTGGAGGAAGAAGAAGGATGAGTACAACCCCAAGAACACCATCCCAACTGTGAAGCATGGAGGTGGAAACATCATTCTTTGGGGATGCTTTTCTGCAAAGGGGACAGGACGACTGCACCGTATTGAGGGGAGGATGGATGGGGCCATGTATCGCGAGATCTTGGCCAACAACCTACTTCCCTCAGTAAGAGCATTGAAGATGGGTCGTGGCTGGGTCTTCCAGCATGACAACGACCCAAAACACACAGCCAGGGCAACTAAGGAGTGGCTCCGTAAGAAGCATCTCAAGGTCCTGGAGTGGCCTAGCCAGTCTCCAGACCTGAACCCAATAGAAAATCTTTGGAGGGAGCTGAAAGTCCGTATTGCCCAGCGACAGCCCCAAAACCTGAAGAATCTGGAGAAGGTCTGTATGGAGGAGTGGGCCAAAATCCCTGCTGCAGTGTGTGCAAACCTGGTCAAGACCTACAGGAAACGTATGATCTCTGTAATTGTAAACAAAGGTTTCTGTACCAAATATTAAGTTCTGCTTTTCTGATGTATCAAATACTTATGTCATGCAATAAAACGCAAATTCATTACTTAAAAATCATACAATGTGATTTTCTGGATTTTTGTTTTAGATTCCGTCTCTCACAGTTGAAGTGTACCTATGATAAAAATGACAGACCTCTACATGCTTTGTAAGTAGGAAAACCTGCAAAATCGGCAGTGTATCAAATACTTGTTCTCCCCACTGTAGGCCATAGTGCAAAATAATTACAATTTAGTATTAACACTGGAGTGATAGATGTGCAGAAGATGATGTGCAAATAGAGATACTGGGGTGCAAATGAGCAAAATAAATAACAATGTAAATAACAATATGGGGATGAGGTAGTTGGGTGGGCTAATTACAGATGGGCTGTGTACAGGTGCAGTGATCGGTATGATGTAACGTGACATAGCATAACATTGCTGAAGATAACATAAACATGGCTTGGTTTCAGATAGCATTTTGACCTCCCTGTGTTTACCTTGGCAAGTACATCCAGCCTCTGGAGCATCCTCTTCATCTGTTTCTCCTCCTCCTCTGTGAACTTATTGAGCAGGGGCTCCAGCTGACCAGTCTGGACAAACAAACAAAGGACAGCCTAAAATACCTTTACCTGAGGCTCAATAAATTACACTGTCTGAGCTAACACCGGAGATAAATAGATCACACACACAGAGACCCGAGGGCCTTTACCTTCAACAGACTGGCTTTGTCTAAGCTAAGATAAGTAAGCATTAACACATGGCCTCGTGCCTTCTCACACTGCTGAGGTGTGCGGTTATTCCCTGGAATTGCTCAGCTGTCATGTGTTAAAGCTTACATAGGGAATGGCGTGCCAATTCAAATCATTTCAGGCCCAGTGAGTCACAAGAGGTGTAAATCCTTTCAAACATGAATTCACCATTCTGGGATCAACTCTAAACTGAATGGTCAATCTTATCAACTTATTTACTCAAACAATTGAAAGTCCACCACAGGGTTTGGAGGTGTTTACAGACCACTTAAGTATGAAACAAATCCATATGGTGCTTATCTTCTGGAGTACTTTCATTGCCTTTGCCGTGTCTTGCTTACCTTTAAATTTGGGACAACCAGTAGATCTGATATCTTTATTCTGTCGTCGATCAGGCAATTCCAGTCCAGCCTGTCAATGGTTCTGGTGGGGCACAGAGAAATACCACTTTTAGTAAGGCAAATATAGTTGTTATGAGGGGCTTTTTCAACAAAGTATGCAAGGAAAATTACTGCTTGATATGACATAATACAGTATTATTTTTACCCTGATCCTTGTTTCTCTCCAGTGAACCAGCCATGGAAGTCACCTGTGGCCCCCAGCTTGGTCATAAACTCCTGTATGGACAAATAGGCATTTATGTCACATTTGACCATATATGTAGTAAGACGTTGTTATCTCAATGGATCAAACAGGTCAAACAAGGGGTGATCACCTAAAAACAAGTCCATATAAACCCTAAAGAACAGCAACTGTGTTCTCAGGGTTGGGTAAGTTACTTTCTAAAACTAATCCGTTACGGTTACTAGTTACCTTCCCAAAATTGTAATCAGAATCATAACTTTTGGATTTCCCAAACTCAGTAACGTAATCTGTTTACTTTCAGTTACTTTTTGATTACTTTCCCCTTAATAGCCACTAGAAGAAGACAAAAATGTATATTACCAATTGAAAGACATCTATTGCAGGGTAAATACATTTTAGAGTTTACATAGCTGGCCATAAATGGATGTTGCATTTTACTTTATGGGTTGGTTATGTAGGCTTCTTCTGACCCATTGCTTTCTACTATAGATAATACGATTAGGCTATATCTTTACATTTAAAAACAAAGTCTGTCAGATTTCCTGTCATTCCAATTAATGAATACCCCTTGATATTCAAGACTTGGAAATATAGATTAGCCAAAATGTTTTACCTGAACATAACCCAAAAACGAAGGACTTATTAACCTACTCTGTTATTTATGTTTCGTTGTCATGGAGGACTGATTGGGGTCATTGCTTCGAGTAAAAAAATTAATGCTGCTCTCATGGAATGGCATGCTTTGAGCACTACTGAAAAGTGCAATTTGCATGTGACAAATGAATGCCATATGCTGCATTTGCTATAGGCCTATTGTTTGCGTTTTTGTTGGTGACGCTTTGATATCTCAATAATTTGCAGCTGTTTGGGATAATTCCATCAAAAGTGTGCGAGTTTGAGCATCTGTCCGTTAGGCCTATGGATTTTTTTTTTAATCAGCACGAATTAGATTGAGCAATAAAAGCCCCACTTAAATTAAACTAGTTTTTGATAGTAGAGTAGTGGCCTGAGGGTACACACTTAATGTGTTGTGAAACCTGTTGTAAAATGTAATGTCATGTTTTTAATTGTATACAATTGACTTCATTTTGCTAGACCCCAGGAAGAGTAGATGCTGCCTTGGCAGCAGCTAATGGGAATCCATAACAAATACAACTAGCTAAATGAGAGAGCAACAGTGTGATTCACATCAATGTGCTATGTAGATATCAATAATAAGTGATATCCACCACTGCTGTTGTCCTTAACTCCAAGCGTGTATTCAAGTTGGATAATCTTTGGATACCGACAGCAGTCGCGCCATTGGAAGACATAGCTTGGACTGTAGCCTACAAAAGCCTATTCATACTATTTTCCTGCGATCCATCAAACGTATTTGGTGTGTCATCATACTGGTCTTTGACTTGTGTTCAGACTCGCTCACACCGAACGAATATAAACATGCGCCTTTTTTCAATGCCGATTTGAATGTAATTGAGAAAACAGCAGGGTGTCAAATAGGTTTTGGGCACAAAAAAAAATCTGATTTTAAAAGTAATCCAATAAGTAATCATCTAGTTTTTCAGAAGTATCTGTAATCTGATTACAATATTTTTGCTGGTAACCTAATGGATTACAGGTACTTTTTTTTGGTATCCATTACTGCCCAACCCTGTGTGTTCTGTATACCTGTAGTGGTTGCAGCTCTAGCCTCTGCTCCAGAGCCTCCATGCCATCTCTCCCCTGCTGTGCTGCCAGGAAGCTGAAGAAACGCCTCCATTTCACCAGCACCTCCGAGAACTGGAGCTATAGAGGTAGAGAGCAAAACCAAGCATTATAGCGCTTTACCAGAGAGTCAAGTATCAGCTAAGTGTGTGCTACACATTGATGTTGAATGAGGTGAGTACCCCCTTACTTACCAGGAACTGAGGTCGTCCCAGTGCAGTCATCTTGATGGCAGAGAAGCCATCCACTGAGCTCCCACCTGGATGAATATTGATAGCTGCTCAGTGTAAGCCACAGTAATATCAATCAAAAACAGCAATATATAAATTCATGGAAATGGGAAGCTGATGCATTTTGCATTATGTTGTCTAAACAGTAGGGTTACATAGCGGGATATTTTGCTAAGTAATAATTACGGTCTCGCGTTCATGAGTGTCCATTACTGAGTGTCATGATGCCAAGAAACTACAAATTGGTATATGGTAATTGCTATTATTCTCCACAGAGAGTCATTTAATAAAAAACTCCATCCCAACCACCCAGCCTTCGTATTCTTTATATCCACAGGCGTACCAGATGCTTTGATACACTTTAGGAAGGTCTCCATGTGTTGGTCACATTTGGCCTCATCAGTGTAGAAGTATGTCCTGGCACCGGTCACTCCCCCTCGGCGGTCCCCGAACTGTTGGTGAGCCTTGTACTTCTTTTCTCTGTGGCCTGCAGGGGGCAGTAAACACATCAGCATCCCTCCCTATTGCAACCAGTTGCATCATATAGTTAGGGCTCAAATGGGAGCAAAACAACCCAAGGACGGACTTACCCATGCTTTCTTTCTCTGCAGCGGACACACATGAGCTGACAATGAGAAAAGAAAAGAGAGGAGAATTGATTAATTGGTTGTGGACACAAAGTTTAGTATTATAATGTTTTGGACACAAAGTATTATAAAAGAGCTCTCTCTCCACACACATGCATGCACGCACACGCACGCACACACACACACACACACAAACACACACACGTTCAATTCCTTGGTGACCGCTTGGCACATCAAGCCCCGTTCCACTTCTATAAATAAACACCATTCCATGTACCATATTGCCCTTGAGGCACAAGCCAGTGGATAAAGCACACATCTACCCACAGGTGGCCCCAGATTGACTGAAGCTGAGCTGTCTCCCTGCCAATGTCTTGACCTTCCTGAAAGGGCAACCAGACACACTATACCATCACAGATCAAAGGACACATGGGCTGACTTGCATCACAGGACACTATATTGGGTATTTTGGTGGTTATTGGTGCTAACCTTGGTGGGTATTTGGACGTCACTGTCAGTGTGTTTAAATAGAAGGAAGTTGAAAGCTATGATGCGTGTCTGGACTATAAGTGCCAGACGTTTTACAACATGCTTGGGATGGAACTGTAAATGTCTGGGTGATGGTTTGTTTGTTGGTTTGCATATTTGTGTGTACATGTATGAGCTTGTGAAAAATCTATTATTTTCTATTTTATTTTCCTGGATGGCCAAGCATCCCTGTTGTTTGTGTCCTACTCTAGCTGGTGAGTTAACGTTACTATAGCAGTCGTCTTGCATCAAAGTAGACTAGCTACTTCTCCCTAGCGTATGCCTTGCAGGTCTGTTTTTTGACCAACAGAGAGGCCTGACTGAGACTTCCAGACAAAGCAGAAAATTAAGCAGAGCACTAAGGTGACGGTATGTGTATTGGGAGTGTTTGCATATTAAACAAGATATCTGAGTCAACAGAGATATATTCTGAGTCAACAGAGCTGATCGACTGCTGATTGTAAAATGTACCTGACCGGAGTAACTTCCTTCCGAGTGAGTGAGTGAGAGAGAGAGAGAGAGAGAGAGAGAGAGAGAGAGAGAGAGAGAGAGAGAGAGAGAGAGAGAGAGAGAGAGAGAGAGAGAGAGAGAGAGAGAGAGAGAGAGAGAGAGAGAGAGAGAGAGAGACTCAGTCCTTTGACAGTATGTTCCTCTCTCGCTCTCTCTCTCTCTCTCCCTCTCAATTCAATTCAATTTCAATTTAAGGGGCTTTATTGGCATGGGAAACATATGTTTACATTGCCAAAGCAAGTGAAATAGATAATAAACAAAAGTGAAATAAACCGTTATCTCTCTCTCTCACTGGACTAAATGTTGACAAAATGTCTTATTTACTTATTTGTAGGTGTATAACCTCAAAATTAGTTGTCCTTCAAAGAGGGGCCAGAAAAGTGAGTTAAGAAGAAAAACAAAATTCCTTAGCATAACTAACTTACAGTGTGAGTGCATTGTGCCATTATCTCACACACATCACTCAGAGAGAACGGTTGTGTAAGTTTTTCCTGGCCTGTCATACAGGCTTATATCAGAGCTGGGATCAACTCATGTGACAGAATTCCTGAAGAGTGAGTTCCGAGAGGCCAGCCAATCCAACGAGGAGGGCCTTGACCAAACTGACCAATGGGGTCTGGACAGACTAGTGTTTACATCCTAAGAGGGATATCAAATTATAGCATGTCCCTGCTTTCAAACGAGGGGGAAATCATACTTATGGTCGTTCACTCTGGTTAGATTTGGATGCCTTTGATTTGATCAAAAATAAGGAAATTACATTAGTTTGGGCAACTAAATCTGTATGTGTGAAAAATAGAACTTGTTTTGCTTAAAACAATGCTTGTGTGCTTTCATAAGTAAATAACACACAGATGCAGTACTTTCTATGTTCCCTAATCCTTATCGAAACCTAACTGATGGCAGGAAATGCATACATCAAACAACCACCCATATTCCTTTCCTATTCAGTTGGGGAATCTCATTTGATATAGGTCAGGAACAGCAATTTTAGAGTAATAAGCAATTTACTTACTCCATCTCGTTAGTCACTGCATCCTCCTGTGTGAGGTCCTCCTCTACACTGTAGTCCAGGACAGAGCCCACTCCGAAGGCCCTGTTCTTTTGAATCAGAGGCTTGATGGACTTGTGGTCCTCTCCCGCCACAAACTGACCGTAGAATGTCATCTTCATAAACTGCTCAAATGCCTTCTTCCCCAGTAGGAACTTACTGATATCCATCAGCTAAGAAAAATAGGGAAATGCATTTAGGGCTCGATTCAATCTGTAGCGCTGAGCATCTGCGGTATAGCGCGATTTAAATGTAAAGGCAATTTTCGATTGAGCCGACATATGCAGTATTTACAGTGAATGCAGTCCCTGCAAACAAGTAAATATTGCCTTTAAATTTAAATCACGCTATTACCATAGATCTTCAGCGCTACGGATTTAATCAATCCCATAATTGTGTGGTAATAATGGTAATAAATCCTTTATTAATGCTACATAACATTGTTATAGCATTTGTCATGAACACCATCTTTTGCAGTTTGTGGATATTTCACTGAGGTGATGACCTCAAGGTGACAGCAAACAGTAGGAGGAGGGCCAGGCAAGCCAGGCACAGTGATGTTCTATAAGAGGGAGTAATTCCACACTATAAATAGACAGCTTGGTGGTAACGTTATCTAGTGATAGGCACACAGCATGCTAGGTGGACGACAGGATTACTGGAAGAGACATAATAGATTCCTTTCTGACTGCACCTGTATGCACACCCTTTAGGTTAACTGAATGTTAAACAACTATGTTTATGTTTTCTTATACCATGTCAAATAAGAGTTCCCTCACTGGAAAAATTAAGTTATTCTGTTCTATTTCATTCGATTTCATTCTGTTTCTTATATATTCTATATTCTATCAAATGCAGATTGTCCTGCATTTAGAAAGTCATTTGGGCCTTCTGTGTTGTCTTTCTTCTATTATTCCTCTGTAGCTCAACTGGTAGAGCACGGCGCTTGTAACGCCAGGGTAGTGGGTTCGATGCACACGTGACTGTAAGTCACTTTGGATAAAAGCGTCTGCTAAATGACATATTATGATTTAGCATCCTTCTAAAGGACAGACAGATCAGAAAGTGAAACCACCTCAGCAGGATATAGAGAGACATGCATTAAAGTGTCTCTAATGCAGTTTATGTGTCTCACCAACTTGAGCTTCTCAACAAAAAACAAAAACAAACTTGATGCAGGTTCAGCACACCATACCTCCTTATTCTTATCAACCAAAAGGTCATAAGAGCACAATTTGAAAACCACCAAACTTCTGAGCAGTTCTAAATTGTCTTTACTCTTGTATGCTTCCTGTGTCTGCTCAAAGTCAATAGAGATCTTTGGAGAGGAGGAAGCATTTCTGCTTTTCCTTGAAGAGTAGGACTGTGCGCCGGCGTCCTCTCTGTTGTTGACATCCTGGTCCGCCTGAGTTGAGGCGACAGTGGACTGTGCTCTCCGGTTAGAAAGGGCATTCAGTCTTCTGAAGTTTATATCCACGCCTGCCCGAGCAAGGGCAGGTACAGTTTTGACAATTGACATGAGTTTTGAGGTGTTGCGTTGGTCTCAGCGGAGCTAACTAAGCAGGTGAGCGCAGCATCGCTTGTAGGCTGCTTGAAATTAGTTGCGCATTTATCTGCCACACGTATTCGTATCTACTCCGTTCATGCATATTTACAGTAGTTTAATTCTGAAGTACCGGTTGGTGGAAAAACCCTGACGCATGCATATTGATTTTGACGTAATAGGTTAATTACGACACGTCTATATTGAGACCTCATTTGTCACGATTTTCAGGTGGACTTGAGCAAGCAAGACCATCTATCTGTCCCCTGTCATGAAATCTTATGGAATAGTGACTTCGTTTTTGTGTAGGCCTAGTGTTGCACCTTCAACATCAGTAAAAATAGTAAACAATATTGTATTGAAAAACTATGGCCATATACTAATAACCCACAGTCATCTCTGTGGTTATTTTGCCAGTTCATTTAATGAAACAGACGGGGGAGCCATTGTCTTGCAAAAGTATAGCCTAATTAGTAGTCATCTGTTACATTTCGATACAATGAAGTTGGCCGTAAAATACCAAATTGGGTCTATTGATTGGGACTAACATTCATATTACAAAAATGTGAATAAATACATTTAAGTTTGATACTTGATAGAATTAATCTTATTCTTATCAAATTATTATTCTTATTACTCTCTAATTTCTCTATTTTTACATTAAACAATTAAGTGTCCTACTTCGCCAATCAAAGATGTCCCAATTTGCCAGTGTCGACAGCAAAACAATTGGTCTCAGGACAATTTCTGTTTGAATAAGATTCATCCATCCTTTATTGCTTTTATATAGTGTAATATAGTTCTTAACCTATTTAGAATGGCATTATTTTTTGGGGGGGGTTTCAGAAAGTGCCCTACTTTACCAATACTCACCCTATTATTATTATTATTATTATTATTATTATTATTATTATTGTTATTATTATTATTATTATTATTATTATTATTATTATTATTATAAGTAGGCCTATGTATTATAGTTTATATTTTGAGGAAAGGTTGTCATTGAAGAACCTAGGCCTATATCATATTGTCCCCATGTGGCACACCCACTTTTGTGTGTTGCTTATGGCTTATTTTCTCTGAAAAGAAATCAACTGTTGCGCACGAAAAGTATGCTCGCTTGACTCTGTGTAACTAACTGCAGGCAAGGCTAGAGTAACAAATCAGGAATTGCCTGCCCCCCGTCACTCCTGAGAGCGCAAGTGAAAGAGAAGACAATAAAACGTTATTAATATTTGATTTAAAAAAGAAACAAAGAAGGAGTCTTTGCCTCGCAAGTTGAAAGATTTAGTTTTTCTACTCTTTTGTTTTGACCTATTCCATAGCACTGGGCACAAAACATAAGATTTGTGGCCAAGTTATGGTTGGTGGCAATAAGCGGCTGCTTTTATTGTCGGTGGAGGATGCCTTTTGGATTCTGCTACTTTCCTGATGCCTCTTTCATTCTTCTTTATTCTTCTGAAAATGTATGGAATAATGAATGGTTTACTATTACAAGTCAGCAATGAAGGAAAGTCATCATTCGAGGAGATCGAATTGCGTGTTCAAGTTTGGGTTTTATAACTTCTTTGGAACTGTGCTCTGTGTGGTTTGGTGTCGCTACACATTCTTTCAACTTTTGGGTACGTCGATGGCGTAGATGGCGCAGTGGTAAGCCTTTTCTCCCCAACTGGAACCTGGATCATACCTCGAATACTTGGATAAAGCTTCTGAAGTTCCCACAATAACAACAACAAAAAAAACGTTTACCGCCGTGGATTATAAACGAAACCCTGGAGAGCAGAATAATAGGAGCAATTGCAGTTTTCTGGAGAGGGGGAATGCGGAGAGAAAGAGGCATCTAGAAGGATGCTGTTTCTTGTAAAATGGAATTGAAGATCATTTTTGAAGTTGTTGTGGTGGTTTGTTCCTTTTTTTCATCGAGTTTTAGCCAAGAACTCAATCCCAAAGGCAGGAATGTATGCAAATTGCCAGGGTAAGTATAGCTGCACTGCGGACGCGGAATAACGTGCTTCTGTCGATAAAAGAAGGAGTTGCCTGCTTCTATCGCTCTCCATGCAATGCAACTACTAAGCTACTTGTTTATTATTCAGGTCAAATTCTGAACTATTGTGCTTTGATTATTGACTGCTCACATTGCAAAAGTCTGTTTTAGACTCGGGTATGAAGGTTTATTTTGCCCTTCACTACCTAAAATAGTTCATTTTCGATATTGCGTAAGCTAGTTAGTCATATTTATTTTCAAATGCAGTCTCCTTACACAAGGAGGAGTCCATCTGAGGAGCAGCCATCCAAATGCTACCTACATCTGGAACCATGCGTAATGTTCTATAATTTCACATAGGGGGCGCTTCCAGGCGCTATATATTTAGTGACACTGGCTTGAAGTCGTGGCATCAGCTATATGACTGAAAATAACCACACAAAATTGTATGGCTGCAGCTGCAAAAAACAAAGGAAAGTTCTAGACTGAACGTATAGACAGCTTGGTGTCCCAATGTTTTCATTTATCAGATTCAGAACATGTGTATGTGTGGGGGGTGGGCGGTGGTTGTGGAGGGGGACTGAAAACCACATGTCAAAGGAGGGTCGGGTGTAGGACCAGAGTCTGTGGGATCTGTTGATATTTTGGCATTCCATAATAGAGGTCATAGCCCTTCTGTGGTCTTATACACGTTTAAATGTCATTACAAGAAGACACCTGGGCCTATCCTTACCTGTTAGAATATGACTCAATAGACAATGGTGAGCATTTGCAGTGCCTCATGGGCAAAACATGTTCCTTTGTTGTCAAAGTTGTTGTCAAAGTTGTTGCCAAAGTGTCTATAGTTGGTATGAAGGTCATTACTTTAACATTTAGCATCCCTGATGAGTTTTAGTGCTTACTGTAAACTATTCTCAACCCTTTTATCTTCAACACAATCACACAAGTTCACCGCTGGCCCCACTCTCAATTTAACGTCTCTATCACAACCCTATTCTTCGTGTTTTTACATGCTTGCATGATTGCTTTTTTGCTGTGCACCACCCCTATCATTTTATTTCATTTGTGCATTTTGTTTAATCTCTTAACTGGGTTCACTGCTCACAGGAAGAATTGAGGGAAGTAGTTGTTTTTTTTATCATTGCTGCTCAGCACTTCCTATCTGTGTCCTCGTGTTACTAAATCAGCTCGCTGACTGTAGTGGGGTCATTGACAACGTTAACAACATTGGTTCACACATCATTGTTTGTCAGTATTCAATGCATCATAAAGTACCATGGGAAAGTGAGAATTGCAAAGAAAACCCATAAAAATGGGGAAAAGCTGCTATCTGATTTTGACAGTGTCGAGAAACAAATATTATGTTATTGAATGAGGTGTTCAGTACTAGAACACCCTTAGAAGTGCCAAATGTAACAATACTGTGGGCGAAAAAGTTTAGGCTAATTTGAGTAACGAAAGACAAATGTGGGACCTGCTTTGATCATGAGAGACCAATGTGAGTCCTGCTTTATGTCAAAACGTCACATTTGTTACACAATGAACATAATGTGTCTTTTCCAGAGCTGTGATGGATTGAGCTGTGTGTCAAAGGTCAGATGGGGTCATCTAAAATCACAGATACCGCTGGCCACCTTGGAAACACTTCACTGAAAGGAGATTTGATTAATACTGTACAAACAGCTTCTTGTCAGCTATAAATGAACCCACACAGCTTTTTATCCATGCATTAGCTCATTCTTGCGTTTTTAGACCTAATCCAGAATAGTAGGCCTAAATAAGACCAGTATCCCTCAGACTCTTCCTCTGTGTGACAGACCCAGCTCTGAGACAAAACAGAGAGGCTGAGATAGTGTTTTTAACACATGGCAGGTTTTAGAGGGGAAAAACAGCGCATGTGTGTGTCTGTGTGCACGTGTACGTGCATGCGCGCTCGCGCGCCCTGACTGAAGGGAGAATGCCGCCCCAACACTTTAGAGGAAGTAAAAGTGTGGCGGGGGGCTCTGGGAGGTCAGTGGTGTGGGAGGAAGAAGAGAAGCATCTGTCCTTTCCTGACAGAGCAGAGCGGAGAGGAGAGCAGTGCGGAGGGGATCTATCGTTGCTTCAAGCTAGACCGCCAAAGACTGCCTCTCTAAACACACTCCTCACTCCTTCCTGGCTAGACGTGGGGTCATCTTTAAACAGTATTTGTTTTCTTTCTGATACCAAAGCTGTGCTTGATTGAGACTGACTGACACACTGGATCAATGGGATAGTCCCAAAAGTGCAAAACATCACCCTCCAGGCATGCCTGGAAGGTTCAATCACACGTTCAAAGTATTTGAAAGAAAACAAATACTTTTTGAACCGTGGTTGTAGCTAGCTAGCTATTGCTAGAGTTGCTCCTCTATATTCTCCCTGGGTTAGCACTTCAGAGGCTACTATTGTTCTGACTGTTGACTGCTGACAGACCGGGCAGGAGAGGTCGGGGTTGAAGGCGCGCTGCAGAAAGGGATGTTTATGAGAGAAGTGTGTTATTCATATTTACCCATTTCTTTGCACATGGAAAGCATATGGAGAAAGAAAGAACAAATGCTGCGCAGACGATTAGAGGATTCAGCGTTTGCCACATGATGGAGAAGTGTGAGGACTGAGGAGATGAAAGGATAGTAGTGGTTGTGCAGGGCGGTGGCGTGTTGTTATGCTCCAGTGTGTGTTTACGTTTTCTTGCTTATCTTCTTCCTCTCTGACAATCTCGTATTTCTTCTCCTCTCTTTCAGGTCACCAGGCTTTGTGTGCTGCAGCGGGTGGGGGCAGATAGGAGAGGAATGTTTGACACGTATGTATACAGCATATCAACATCATAGCATAGTATTTCAATATCTACATGTTTATATCTTGGGCTCCCGAGTGGCGCAGTGGTCTAAGGCACTGCATCTCAGATCCCCTGGTTCGATTCCAGGCTGTATCACAACTGGCCGTGATTGAGAGTCCCATAGGGCGGCGCACAATTGGCCCAGCGTCGTCCGGTGTAGGCCGTCATTGTAAATAAGAATTTGTTCTTAACTGACTTGCCTAGTTAAATAAAGGTAAAAAGAATATATATATATATATCACTTAGGGCCTGTTTCCTGGACAGAGATTAAGCCTAGTCCTGGACTAAACAATTATTTCAATGGAGATTCTCGGGTCGGGGAAACCAGCCCTCAATGTTTAATATGTGGACCTGTAGTGATTCAGTACATCCTCCCCCTAGCTCTCTGTGAAGGTAACTTCACCTGTAAGGAAGATGAGGTGTGCGTCAGGCCCAACGAATGCCGCTGTCGCCATGGATACTTCGGAGCCAGTTGTGATACAAGTAAGCACCTTGTTTTTCGGACACATCTCAAACGTCTTGTCCTAAACCATCAGAAAGGACATATTCACCTAGATATAAGGCATCAAAGAAATGTTTGTGATGTTCTCACCATAATATCCACCACTTCATCCCTCCTTTCCCAGAGTGCCCCACCCAGTTCTGGGGCCCCGACTGCAAGGGCAAGTGCCAATGCTTTCCCAACGGCCAGTGTGACGACGTAACGGGCAAGTGCACGTGCAACCCCAACCGCTGGGGGCCCATCTGCGAGAAGCCCTGCCTCTGCCAGAAGGGCAAATGTGACCAGGACACGGGCACATGCACTTGCCAATATGGCTTCTGGGGCCCTCAGTGTGCAAACAACTGCTACTGCAGTCTCAACTCTGTGTGTGACCAGAACACAGGAAGGTGTAACTGTAGTCCAGGCTGGACAGGGAGGAATTGTGCCATCCAGTGTAACTGTAATAACTCGCCATGTGAGCAGTTCACGGGTCGTTGCCAGTGCCGGGAGAGACTGTGGGGCCAGCGGTGCGAGAGATATTGTCAGTGTATCCATGGGAAGTGCAACCAGGCGGACGGCTCGTGTACCTGCACACCGGGGTACCGAGGGAAGTTCTGCAGGGAACCGTGTCCCGCAGGGTTCTACGGACAGAACTGCAGGAACAGGTGAGGAACCACTGGAGAACATGACTCTGTGTTATTATAACCGAACATAAGACATTTTTCATGATAGTGTAGCAGCTGGGAAACTGAAAAGCCAAGGAGCCTTATGAACAGGGCTTTCTCTTAATTTTTTCCAAGGATCTTAATGTTAATGTATTTTCCCTGATACGTATTATATTGTGGTTTTGGAGTTTTGATTGGAAATATGATTTGACATACGCTCCAGCTGATAACCCTTAACATATCTTAAAATAAATGTGTAGTGTTTACAGATTTCTATAAAATGTGACCTAGAAATAATTACAATATGAGTGAAATATTAATTAAGTATTTTAAAATCAGCTTTTCTGCGTTGGAATGGTGTGGGCGTACCCCAACAACAGAATGGTGTGGGCGTATACCTGTCAAAAAAATGATTTGTGCGAGTATAGAAAGAGTCAACAGCATTATTTGTGTATGAGTTAACAGAATATAAACTTTTGAAATTGAGATTTTCACTGGACAGTTACTTTAAACATGATAGTGTATTAGGGCGATATTGTGGAATTGGTATTCACATTATCTCATAATAATCATCCAATATGCTGAAGCCATTCAGGTTAAGTGATTTACCTTGCTCAAAGTCTGCAGAACTCATGTTATACATGAGCTGCTACATAGCCACTTTCCCACACTTCTCTGACCTCTATGTCGTAGATGTTATAAGAAAAGAAGTCTCGAGGTTTTGCTCGCCTGAGGTAGAGTATCTTATGATAAACTGTAGACCACACTATTTACCAAGAGAGTTTTCATCTATATTTTTCATAGGTGTCTATTTACCACCACAAACCAATGCTGGCATTAAGATTGCACTGAATGAGCTGTATAAGGCCATAAATCAACAGGAAAACGCTCATCCAGATGCAGCACTCCTAGTGGCCGGGGACTTTAATGCAGGGAAACTTAAATCCGTTCTACCTAATTTCTACCAGCATGTTAAATGTGCAACCAGAGGAAAAAAAACTCTAGACCACCTTTACTCCACACACAGAGACGCATACAAAGCTCTCCCTCGTCCTCCATTTGGCAAATCTGACCATAACTCTATCCTCCTGATTCCTGCTTATAAGCAAAAACTAAAGCAGGAAGCACCAGTGACTCGGTTAATAAAAAAGTGGTCAGATGACGCAGATGCTAAGCTACAGGACTGTTTTGCTAGCACAGACTGGAACATGTTCCGGGATTCTTCAGATAGCATTGAGGAGTACACCACATCAGTCACTGGCTTCATCAATAAGTGCATTGATGATGTCGTCCCCACAGTGACTGTACGTACATACCCCAACCAGAAGCCATGGATTACAGGAAACATCCGCACTGAGCTAAAGGGTAGAGCTGCCGCTTTCAAGGAGCGGGACTCTAACCCGGACGCTTATAAGAAATCCCGCTATGCCCTCGGACGAACCATCAAACAGGCAAAGAGTCAATACAGGACTAAGATTGAATCGTACTAAACTGGCTCTGACGCTCGTCGGATTTAGCAGGGCTTGAAAACTATTACAGACTACAAAGGGAAGCACAGCCGCGAGCTGCCCAGTGACACAAGACTTCCAGACGAGCTAAACCACTTCTATGCTCGCTTCGAGGCAAGCAACACTGAAGCATGCATGAGAGCACCAGCTGTTCCGGATGACTATGTGATCACGCTCTCCGTAGCCGATGTGAGTAAGACTTTTAAGCAGGTCAACATTCACAAGGCCGCAGGGCCAGACGGATTACCAGGACGTGTACTCCGAGCATGTGCTGACCAACTGGCAAGTGTCTTCAAAGACATTTTCAACATGTCCCTGACTGAGTCTGTAATACCAACATGTTTCAAGCAGACCACCATAGTCCCCGTGCCCAAGGACTCTAAGATAACCTGCCTAAATGACTACCGACCCGTAGCACTGACGTCTGTAGCCATGAAGTGCTTTGAAAGGCTGGTCATGGCTCACATCAATAGCATTATCCCAGAAACCCTAGACCCACTCCAATTTGCATACCGCCCCAAAAGATCCACAGATGATGCAATCTCTATTGCACTCCACACTGCCCTTTCCCACCTGGACAAGAGGAACACCTACGTGAGAATGCTATTCATTGACTACAGCTCAGCGTTCAACACCATAGTGCCCTCTAAGCTCATCACTAAGCTAAGGATCCTGGGACTAAACACCTCCCTCTGCAACTGGATCCTGGACTTCCTGACGGGCCGCCCCCAGGTGGTAAGGGTAGGTAACAAGTACTCCTGAGTGGCGCAGTGGTCTAAGGCACTGCATCGCAGTGCTAACTGTGCCACTAGAGATCCTGGTTCGAATCCAGGCTCTGTCGCAGCCGGCCGCGACCGGGAGACTCATGGGCGGCGCACAATTGGCCCAGCGTCGTCCAGGGTAGGGGAGGGAATGGCCGGCAGGGATGTAGCTCAGTTGATCGAGCATGGCGTTTGCAACGCCAGGGTTGTGGGTTCGATTCCCACGGGGGGCCAGTATAAAAATATATCTATATATATATATATATATATGTATTCACTAACTGTAAGTCGCTCTGGATAAGAGCGTCTGCTAAATGACTAAAATGTAAATGTAAAATGTAACAACACATCTGCCACACTGATCCTCAACACGGGGGCCCCTCAGGGGTGCGTGCTCAGTCCCCTCCTGTACTCCCTGTTCACCCATGACTGCATGGCCAGGCACGACTCCAACACCATCATTAAGATTGTTGACGACACAACAGTGGTAGGCCTGATCACCGACAACGATGAGACAGCCTATAGGGAGGAGGTCAGAGACCTGGCCGTGTGGTGCCAGGATAACAACCTCTCCCTCAACGTGACCAAGACAAAGGAGATGATTGTGGACTACAGGAAAAAAAAGAGGACTGAGCACGCCCCCATTCTCATCGACGGGGCTGTAGTGGAACAGGTTGAGAGCTTCAAGTTCCTTGGTGTCCACATCACCAACGAACTATCATGGTCCAAACACACCAAGACAGTCATGAAGAGGGCACGACAAAGCCTATTCCCCCTCAGGAGACTGAAAAGATTTGGCATGGATCCTCAGATCCTCAAAAAATTCTACAGCTGCACCATCGAGAGCATCCTGACTGGTTGCATCACCGCCTGGTATGGCAACTGCTTGGCCTCCGACCGCAAGGCACTACAGAGGGTAGTGCGTACGGCCCAGTACATCACTGGGGCCAAGCTTCCTGCCATCCAGGACCTCTATACCAGGCGGTGTCAGAGGAAGGCCCTCAAAATTGTCAAAGACTCCAGCCACCCTAGTCATAGACTGTTCTCTCTGCTACCGCATGGCAAGCGGTACCGGAGTGCCAAGTCTAGGTCCAAAAGACTTCTCAACAGCTTCTACCCCCAAGCCATAAGACTCCTGAACAGCTAATCATGGCTACCCAGACTATTTGCACTGCCCCCCCACCCCATCCTTTTACGCTGCTGCTACTCTGTTAATTATTTATGCATAGTCACTTTAACTCTACCCACATGTACATATTACTTCAACTACCTCAACTAGCCGGTGCCCCCGCACATTGACTCTGCACCGGTACCCCCCTGTATATATAGCCTCCCTACTGTTATTTTATTTTACTTCTGCTTTTTTTTCTCAACACTTTTTTTGTTGTTGTTTTATTTTTACTTTTTTGTTAAAAATAAATGCACTGTTGGTTAAGGGATGTAAGTAAGCATTTCACTGTAATGTCTGCACCTGTTGTATTCGGCGCATGTGGCCAATAAAATTGTATTTTATTTTATTTTATTTTATTTGAAAAGGCAGTATGGAGGTGTAACATTTCTACAGGTTCCTGGAAATGTATATACAGGGCCCGCTAAACTATGGAGATAACAACACGAATATTCGCTATAACAATGTTACTAAATAGTCTTGGTGTCAATAGGTCAGGCCAAAGGTAGTGCACCATAGGGAATATGATGTTAATATGGGGCCATTTTGTAAGCAAATGTCTCAACCACCATCCTGATGCCCTCTCTCCCTCCATGTCCCCAGGTGTGGCCACTGTAAAGGCCAGCAGCCCTGTAAGATAACAGAGGGGAGGTGTGTGACCTGTGAGAGGGGCTGGAACGGGACCAAGTGTGATCAGATGTGCCTGCCAGGCTTCTTCGGAGAGAACTGCCTGGACGTGTGTCCCCCGTGTAAAGACGGCCACTTCTGCAACCGCATCGACGGAAAGTGCTCTCACTGCAACCCCGGCTGGATCGGGGACAGGTGAGAGAACACACACATGGAATGGAAACACAAACACACATACACACACATAAACACTTCTGGTTTTTGTTTCTACCTGGTAGTTTATTGCACTCACCTGGTGTCCCAGGTCTGAATCAGTCCCAGATTCAAAGGAGAGGATGAAAACTAGGAGTGTTTTGGCCCCTCCAGGACCGACATTGAACAGCCCTGCTCTAGTACAATTTAAAACACTTGAAAACATAACTTCAAACAAAGACTTACAGTTATGCTAATATACACTTGAATACAAAGCTAGAGAAAGTTTTAATTGTTGTCTACTTTTCAGCACGTCAACGTGTAATTTACATAGGTACTGCATTACAATGACTATTTCAAATACTTGAACTTGTACTTGTACTGACACAGGCTTTCATGTTGTGCTAATGTTTCTGAGACATGATTCACAGCTGATGTGACAATGACCATAATCACAACATTCCTTCCTGTTTTGTCTCCCTGGTCGGTAGGTGTGAAGTGCGCTGTCCCAACGGGACTTATGGGGATAACTGTGAGAATGACTGCAGCCACTGTTTTAACGGCATTTGTCACATTGCTACCGGAGAGTGCCTGTGTGAGCCGGGATTTTACGGGACCTAGTGAGTCAGACCTCTCACAAAAACATCTTCATGTTTACGCTTCCCTTCACAGCTACAAAACCCAGAGAGCAATGGCGGTCGGTGCCATTTAAGATGAGGGAGGACGATATTTTATTTAATGAGCTTGGCCTTATTTCTATTATAGCATATTTGATGACTGTCATTCATATTCCATTCACCCAGCTCAATTACATTTACATTTACGTCATTTAGCAGACGCTCTTATCCAGAGCGACTTACAAATTGGTGCATTCAACTTATGATAGCCAGTGGGACAACCACTCCTTTTATTTTTTTATTTTTATGGGGGGATGGTGGAGGGGGGGGGGTAGAATGATTACTGTTATACTATTCCAGGTATTCCTTAAAGAGGTAGGGTTTCAAGTGTCTCCGGAAAGTGGTCAGTGACTCCGCTGTCCTGGCGTCGTGGGGGAGCTTGTTCCACCATTGGGGTGCCAGAGCAGCGAATAGCTTTGACTGGGCTGAGCGGGAACTGTGCTTCCATAGCGGTAGGGGGGCTAGCAGGCCAGAGGTGGATGAACGTAGTGCCCTCGTTTGTAACATCAATAGGTTTAGGCTACTAAATGATACTCAAATTTTCCCTATACCCATCATGAGGTTGCTACAACCTAGCCTATGAATGAAAGTTTACAATGTAGGAGTACAGGTTGAGAGAAATTTTAGTAAGCAAGGTGACAGACATTGACACATTCAATACCGCTTTGCACAGTCTTGCTTGCAACTAGCTGATCTAGGGTGTAATCATTAGTCAAACACTTGCAAACTAGAATTTCTATTGGACAAATTCAGGTATGTTTATTCCCTTTTCATTCCGTTTGTTTCCGTTTAAGAAACGTTTTTCAACAGAATCGGTGGAATGAATACACCCCTGTTCACATGCAAACACACTTCACTTTCATAGCAGTCACATAAAACAGCATGATCCCTTTGATCTTTGGATTATTCCTTCTCGCATCTACGCCCTCTCCTCCTGTCACCTTTTCCCTTCACTTGTGGACTTCAGTGCACAACACATTAACTGTCTGTGACCAGGCAAAAAAAACGTTACAAGCCAAACTTTCATATCATAACAGCTAACCGCTACACACAGCCTACATCGTTGTCACCATATTAGCTACCGTCAAGTCAACATAGCTACTAGAAATAACGCGTTAGTAAACCCGCTACAATCATGCAGTACAGTGTACAGTTAGCAAGCAGTTTACCAGTTACACCGGCGGGCCCCGGTGGCAATAAATTAATAAAACCAAAAGCTTACCTTGACTTGGAAGAGTTCCAGTGTTGGATAGCCATAGCCAGCTAGGTAACATATCATCCCTCTCTGTTTGAGCCAGGTGTTTGAGTAGGCTAGCTGTATTTCACTAGCTAAGTAAGTGAAAAAATATGAAATATAGCTAGCTCTCTCTCTCACTCTCTCTCTCTCTTGCTTCTCCTTCATTTTTGAAGAAATTGATTTGTTCAAAACTGTTCAACTATTGTCTTTCTCCTTTCTCTCTCTTTAAGTCAACTACTCACCACATTTTATGCACTGCAGTGCTAGCTAGCTGTAGCTTATGCTTTCAGTACCAGATTCAATCTCTGATCCTTTGATTGGGTGGACAGTATGTCAGTTCATGCTGCAAGAGCTCTGATAGGTTGGAGGATGTCCTCCGGAAGTTTTCATAATTACTGTGTAAGTCTATGGAACGGGGTGAGAACCACAAGCCTCCTAGGTTTTGTATTGAAGTCAATGTACCCAGAGGAGGACGGAAACTAGCTGTCCTCCGGCTACACCATGGTGCCACCCTACAGAGCGTTGCTGAGGCTACTGTAGACCTTCATTGCAAAACAGTGTGTTAAGTCAATTATTTGGTGACGTGAATATATTTATTATAATTCTATCTAAAAATAATAACTTTTTTAATGTTTCACTATTTGTATTTTTATCAAATTCACTGAGGATGGTCCTCCCCTTCCTCCTCTAAGGATGCTTCACTGCCAGAGAGAGTGTCCAACATGACATGTTTTCTCTCTGCTGTTTTTTTCCACTCATCCGTGCTTCACGCCTAGAGTTTCCTGTCTACATGACCAGAGCAGGAAACACTTTAGACCCGTAGACCTCTAGCATATCTCTGGTCAGGTCACATGTTCAGGAAAAACTCCTGGCTGTACTCATTGCTTATTCAGTCAGTACAGGGAAGTAGTCAGTATCATATTGTTATTATATTTTATTTTTTACTGTCTTTGAATCCCTGTGCCACTGTCTATTTCATTGTATGTGTCTCACATGGACACAGTAACTAAGTTGTTTGTGTCTTCTCTATCTTGTAGCTGCAATATGACGTGTCAGATGGGTCAGTATGGAGTGAACTGTGCCCAGACCTGCTCCTGTCACGACAAGAACTGCAACCCAATGTCTGGGACCTGCAACCTAGGTAAGGAAACCAACCCACTCTCTTTCCTTAGTCACACACATGTGCACGCACACACACACACACACACACACACACACACACACACACACACACACACACACACACACACACAGAGAGAGACACAGAGAGACAGAGAGACACACACACACTCTGCAACCTACGTAAGGGAACCACTCTCTTTATTACCTCATTCACTTTTACAGATCTGGGAGAATGTTAGGTCACTGTGTTTGAAGGTAGCCATGCTGCAAGACCTAAAATGTAGATGTAAAAAAGGAGTTCTTATCAGAGTATGTGGGGCGTCAAACCCTGGTGCTTCTAGTGATAAAGAAGTTTTTATATTTTGGAAAGAAAGGCAGGACATAAAGAAAACACACGAAACCATAGGGAACATATCAAATGTGTGCACTGCACATGAAGGTCCCAAACCCCTTGCTTGAACTGTTTGTCTAAATAGCCAGTTGATAGCGGTGACGCGCCTCATGTATAGAATGTCTGTGAGTTGGACGGAGACAATGTTCATCCTAAATGGCACCCTTTTCCCTATATAGTGTACTACTTTTGACCAGAGCCCTATGGGGGAGACAATGAGCACTAGCACACATGTCTATTCAGGTCAATGTAGTAGAGTTAACATGGAGGGAGCCTAATGGTGTTTCCAGACTGCCTGGTGTCTTTTTTTCGTCTGTGTTTGTTGGCCCTCTTCCTGTCCCGCTGGAGAGAGAGAGAAAGAGGAAGAGGAAGAGAGAGCTGGAGGAAGAAAAGAGATGGAATGGGGGGAGGAGAGCAGCTTGAGGAAACAGGGTTACCAAATGGACATGTTAGGAAGCAGTGATGATGTCACCAGGTCAGGCCTTTGGGTTCTGCCAGGCCAGTTTCTTCCTTTTTCCAGCTGTGAACACAGAGGCCTTACACGCCACACCCAGGCCATACTTTCATTCATCCACAGCCTCTATGACAGCGGAGGGGCGTAGAGGGCCAGGGGCCAGCAGTATTTATCTATATGCTAACTTATAGGTTATCTCACTTATGGTGTCATCTGGCTGCACAGTGTATGTGTACTGTTGAGATGAAGGGTCTGAAATGGCATCCTATTCCGTATGCAGTGCACTGCTTTTGATTAGGGCCCATAGGGCTATGGTTAACAGTATAGCGCACTATGTAGGGGATAGTGTGCCATTTCGGTCACACCCTAAGAGATGCTTATGCAACAGACGGACTGCTATTCTGTTTAAGTGTATCCAGCTTAGAAAGGGAGGGGTGCTAATAAATCATCAATGAATTATGGCGGTATAGGGAGTGTAGTAGAGCAGTGATAGAATGCCGCAGCCCGTCTGGTGTTCAACCTTCCCAAGTTCTCTCACGTCACCCCGCTCCTCCGCACACTCCACTGGCTTCCAGTTGAAGCTCGCATCTGCTACAAGACCATGGTGCTTGCCTACGGAGCTGTGAGGGGAACGGCACCTCCGTACCTTCAGGCTCTGATCAGTCCCTACACCCAAACGAGGGCATTGCGTTCATCCACCTCTGGCCTGCTGGCTCCCCTACCTCTGCGGAAGCACAGTTCCCGCTCAGCCCAGTCAAAACGGTTTGCTGCTCTGGCACCCCAATGGTGGAACAAGCTCCCTCACGACGCCAGGACAGCGGAGTCACTCACCACCTTCCGGAGACATTTGAAACCCCACCTCTTTAAGGAATACCTGGGATAGGATAAAGTAATCCTTCTACCCCCCCCCCCCCCCCCCCCCCCAAAAAAAAAGAAAACATTGTAAAGTGGTTATCCCACTGGCTATAAGGTGAATGCACCAATTTGTAAGTCGCTCTGGATAAGAGCGTCTGCTAAATGACGTAAATGTAAATGTAAAAAATAGAAAAGTGAAAAGATGGGGTTTGACAGACATTTCAGAAGTAGAATCCACAACAGGAGATAGATAAAGCAGGTGGCGATTTAATAGAAGAAGGCTGTTTCATGGAAGTCAATTAGTCTGTTTCACATTGTCTATAATTTGGATACCTCTATCTCTTCAATGCCCACTTAATGGTACAAATGATAGGCCTACAGTATTTCCACAGTGTGGAGGGTCAACACAGTGCACGACAGATTGAATTTCAGCTCCAGAGTTCTGATTCTGGGAGTTCAGGTAGTTCTGACAGAGAGTAACGTTAGTTTACACCAGATATATTATACAAATGGCTCTGGTTGGCACTGGCAGTCTGGCACACCCAAAAATCCCTGCTTGTGTCTGTCTGCTTTTTCAGAGCCCAACCAGCGGATGGGCGTGATCGCAGCAGGAACCCTGGTCTCTTTTCTGCTCATTGTCCTCCTCTCGCTGCTTTGCTGCTGCTGCCTCTGCCGAAATAAAGATGACCACAAGTGAGTGACAGACACGGGCCTGGTGTAGAGCGAGGGATGGGGATGGGTTGGAAAGGAAGAGTGGGCCGTTTGCCTTCCTTGCTAAAATAGCTCATGCAGATGGCTCCATCCTTTGAAATAGTTTTTTGCCCTTGTATCTTATATTGTCACTGTCGGAATAAATAAAAAATGGCAAAAATGGATCTACAAGGTTTTTCTTTTGACAGTGACAATATATAGTATTACATTACAACTGTACATACAGTCAAGTTAGGGCCTGGAGGAAAAACTGATCAGGAAAGACTCTGGGTCCTTGTTATAAGTTACAATAAGGGCCTTAAGTATTTCCTGGTTAGTTCACGTGGTAAGGAAGAACTGCAGGCTCTGCATAGTATGTCATTTGTAGCCAAATCAAAAATGGGTCAGTATGATATTGTGTGTGGTCTTTTTCTTCATGTGGTCCATGAGATGTTGCTTGTACTGCAAGTGTGTCAATACAGATGAACATCACCCACATTTGAATCGATTTGTGGTGTTTAGTAATTAATATGTTTTCCATGGCGTCACCCCTCCCTCTTTCCCTCAGTCCTGACCAAGACAACTCTACCAACAGCAAAAAAGCCAAGCGGATCCTATGTGGAAGATTCAGCCGAATCAGCACCAAACTCCCCCGGATCCCACTGAGACGACAGAAGCTGCCCAAAGTAGTCGGTAAGCCCCAATCCCTCCTCCCCATAGGCAACCATGCCAAGACAGAATCTGCATCCTAAATGGCATCCTATTCCCTAAATAATGCACTACTTTTGACCAGAGCCCTATGGGCCCTGGTTCAAAGTAGTTTACTCTATAGGGAATAGAAGGTGCTATTCGGGATGCGTCTACAGCCACTTTCTTCAATACGATACTGTCTTGTTTGTTTGTGTATATGCTCCATGTGTCTCTGGATGATCCCATAGTTTCTGTGTCATAGTCATTGCAAGCCTCTTTAACTCTTCAGCAAGAGGGAGAGAGCATTTTCATTTTACCTTTGCTCTGTAATACCTCGCTCTGCGACTCTCTGTGGAGTGGTTTTCAGACAATGAATAGGGTTGAAAAGTGTACTGCGACTGCCAAATGGGTATGGGGTTTCATCTGAGAGGAATGCACTGGTTGCAGGGCTTATTATTCTTGGCACCCTTAAATACCATGTGTTCATGTTATTACAACCCTAAACGGGCCCTCTCTTTTTTCCCTCCTTCCTAAGAAAGTGAGTTGAGTTCCTCCTCTGCTGGGCTGAAGGCGCTGTTATTAAGAAAGAAAGGGTCAGTGTAGTGGTGTGGTGCTCGGGAGGTCTGAGTGGTGTTGAGTGATACTTTATCAAAGGCTACTCTGTTTGTGTCAACATGGAGAGGAGAGGAGGGAGAGTAGCTCCTGTATGTCTATGTGGAGGGAGGGAGAGAGGGAGGTGGAGGAAGGTCTCGTGGTCTGGGATAGGATTGTCTGTCAGGACCCATCTCAAGTCAGCTTAAAGGACATTACACATAGCCTACATACTGAATAACTCTCTTTTGTCTACCCAGATGCCTTCTGGAATCTCTAGACATTCCAGACACGGCCACGTTCTGTGCCGTTCTGCTTTGGCTCTGCAATGTAGGAGTTCAATTGAATCATGGCTCTCTAGACTGGTTCTGAATGCATGGATGGAAGAGCTCTGACAGGGTTCTGACTATATTTTGGAATGGAGAAATGCCCTATTTGTGGGATATATTGTAGTTACCCTAAGTTGCTCTTCAGTGCAATATGACACTTTTAAAAGCAATAATTTAAGACCGGTGATGGGGAAGGAGTTAAAAAGTGGTGACCTTGTTTCTCTCCTCTTTCACGATGAGTAGCATGTGCTTCTCCACTTCTTTAGCTGATTATTTCAGCTAGCAGCTGTATTCATTGTGCCTGCGTAGAAACACACACTGGAACAGTATTGTCTTTGTCATCCAGTGTCATGGGACATTAAGATCATTTTTCACAAACACCCTCAAAGTTTACTGTAACTTATAAACAATCCGCCAGAGGCTACAGAAATGGCATTTTGTTAAAAGTCTATGCGTATGACCTCCTTTCAAACAAACAAGCCCTTTCATTATTTTGTGCACAAAGCATATCGTGCGATGTCTGGATTGCAATCAAGCAAATCAAGGAGAACAAACTACCACTTTGGGAATTTGGAGAGAGTAGAATAGAGTTTTTGGTTCAAACCAAAACCAATTCTCTCTAAGTTTTCCTCCCTCACATTCAACAATACATGACAACACACTGCTATAAAACGACTAAATGTAAGAATATACTTTACAGTCCTTCTACCAGTGTTATAGACTCTCTTGTTCATAAGGAGAGATAAACTGGTCAGCTTCTCTCTCTCTCTCTCTCTCTCTCTCTCTCTCTCTCTCTCTCTCTCTGTCTCTCTGTCTCTCTGTCTCTCTCTGTCTCTCTCTCTCTCTCTCTCTCTCTCTCTCTCTCTCTCTCTCTCTCTCTCTCTCTCTCTCTCTCTCTCTCTCTCTCTCTCTCTCTCTCCCCCTCCCTCCCTCCCTCCATCGCTCTGCTCTGCTTTGCTTTCCTCATTGCCTGCCCACAGAAGCGTGGCCTGCCTGCCAGCGTTTTGAAACTCTACCCTCCCTGGGGCGCCGTCAGTCCCTTCAACATTCCACAGGAGGCCCACTGGACTCGAAACAGGAAGTGGCCAAATTTACCCCAGCCTGTGTCAGACCTATGATTTACCCACACTGGGGTCAACATACTACAACAGATGTGGCAAGACAAAAGGAAAGATGAAATAGGGGAGGAAGAGGAGGGAGGAAGAGGGGGAGGAGGGAGGAAGAAAACATTTGCTCTGTCTTTTGCATAGCTCGTATAGCTCCTCCGCTCCTTCATACGTAAACGTTCCCCCCATCCCCCATCCTGTACTAAAACCTCCACACTGCTTATAGTTTGTCATTCCATTCTAAGCATATTTATTCCACGCCCTACACTATAGTTAGCTATCTCACGCTCTGCTGGCTGCCTTCCCCCATTTCCATTCCGTAGCCCTCTGTGTGTGCGTGTGTGTCACAAATGGCACCCTATTCCCTATACTGTACAGTGCACTAATTTTGACCAGGGCTCTGGGGGATATAGGGGATAGGGTGCTATTTGGGATGCAGTTGCATGTCCGAATGCTTCCCTGTGAAAAGTGATGTGGAGCGGGACCACCTGCTCCAGGGTAGCTGGCCTCACAGGCAGCTATGATAGGCCTGTACAGCTGGAGCTCGTCAAGAAATGCACAGTTGTCCAATGGACTCTGTGTAGGCTGAGCTTTGGTCTTTCAGTGCTGTCCTGTCTCTCCCTGAAGAATCCATCCGGCTCCAGACTTTTAGTCTGGTGTGAACATTCAACCACAGCAGTTGTTCAGTGAAGCATGAAAGAGAATGAATGGAATTAAGAGCCAGTTGGTTAGTTGGTCAATTGAGGTTACTTACAGTAGGCCCTATTGGACACTGCATCAGTCTTGAATAATATAGTCTAGCACAGACATTGGTTAAGTCAACTGGGACATTCTGCTATTGTACCTCCTTGGCATTGGAGTCGTCTGTCCATTATACTCTAGCACAGCAGGGCTGTTACAATAGTCATAAAGTGCAAACCGTCCAAACAGAAAGTCTGGTGTATTTATTTATGTATCTCCTTTATTGAATTTGAGCAAAATATTTATCAGCTGGAAGAAAAGCCTTTTTTTTCTGTGTCCGTGGATAAATATTTGGGTGGGCACTGTTTATATTATATTGTTTGTAACGGCTGCCATTGCTACAGTCCAACTAATCTACATCAAGTCAATTTCCTCCATTTAATCCCATCACCATGGCGGTATTATGTAGAATTTGAACAATATCTGAACAATATTGGGATATTACCAGATATAATGACAGGAACAATATTAGAAGTGTTGAGATTGACTCTGCAGTATGAAGGACATCCTCATAGTACCCACCATTTTCAGTGGAAATTCCCACCAACATAGAAAGTCCCCTTGCGTCAATCTAATTAACAAAATAAAAAAAAACGTCAGAACAGTTTGGCCTACAAACTAATATGGAAAGAAGAGACTCTCACGAACATGATGGTGTGCTCCATTTTGCTCTATGACATCCACAAGCCCCATAGGACTTGTCTGAAGTTGGTACCGCCGATGTGTCAAATTTTGTCCGTAGCATCCGAACCGTTTGGGCTACAGACTGATATGGAAAGATGAGACTCACAGGACTGAAGGAAACCCCGTACTGGTTAAAACAATTAATGAAGTAGTTTTGTGCCCCCCCCCCCCCAAAAAAAAGGGGCTAAATATGTGTAAAAAATATATACAAATCCAGAGATTTCGTATATCTCCTAGATATAGGACAGACACTTCAAAATCTAATTCCTAATGATACATTTTTGAACTGTCTGTTTGACCATTTATGAATGTGTTATTCAATGTGTTTCTATGGGGTATAGCAGGCCCAATTCTATATTTTTATTTGATCAAATAATAAAAAATGCTCATCTGATACCTACAGGGGTCCTAAAATTCAAAAATCTAAAAGCTAAATGATCCATGGTATGACCATCTTAAAACAATGCCATATGTTAGCTTAGGAGAACCCCCCACCCCACCCCACCCCAAGGCTTAGTTAACAAGCGCTGTGAGAATAGTACAATAATGCTGCTCTTGCATTTACACATCTCCTGGTACTCATTTAACTGTAGCTGTACCACACCTGCTTGTGTTGGTGTTAGCAGAGGTCAGTTGTTTTACAGTTTGGGAGATGACTTCCATGCCACAACGTTCATACCATAAACTCATAACACAATAAGGACCACAATGGAAATACGTTGTAAAACTTTTTAGATATATCCTCGATGATTTTAAATGCAGTAAATCCACTTGTGTGGCTGAATTGTGTTTAAAATGGTCAAATAAATCATGTTGAATACATAGAGACTCAGTGTAGTTGGAGGGGAACTTCCAGCCAAGAGAGGGTTTAGTTTTAGCTTAGCGTTAGCGGAGAACAAACGGATGGGCTCATGTGTCATCGAGTGGAGGGGGGAGGGTGTAAATTGACATATCTGATGTGGTTAGTGTCCAGTTAACGCCCAGTCACACACACACACACACACACACACACACACACACACACACACACACACACACACACACACACACACACACACACACACACACACACACACACACACACACACACACACACACACACATACACACAAACACAGTCAGTCTACAGCCAGTTGGGGAAAGGAGAAGAGGAACCACAGACATCCCACACGAACACAGCTGTCCCCAGACTGAAGGGTCAGCAGAATACATCAACATCTAAAGAGGAGGAAGGGATGCAAGGAGGGAGGGAGGCAGGGAGGGAGGGAGGAGGGAGGCATGGAGTGAGGGAGGCATGGAGGGAGGGAGGCATGGAGGGAGGGAAATTACCTACATTTAGGAAATGGAGCATTCTCTGTCTATTGCAATGATAACTAAAGGAAAACTTGAACTTATTTCTCAGTAAATAGCAGTTTGTTCAAGGAATGTAGAATCACGCAGATTGTCACAAAATACCAACAACAAATCAACATGAAAAGTTTATGAACACTATTGAAACACTCTAGCTAGTTCAAGCCAGACTCCCTTACAACATCAACACACACCACAACATCTTGTGGAATCAGTGTCTCTCGATCTGTTGTTCTTGTAAGGTAGTCCTGTCAATCTACTTCTCTCTGACCCCTGCTTCTCTGTGTTTGTTTTCTCTCCCTGTCCCCCAGTAGCCCACCACGACCCTGAGAACACATTCAACTGCAGCTTCATCGAGCCCCCCTCTGTCGTCGAGCAGCCCTGCCCCTCCTCCTGGTCGTCCCAGGAGTCCTTCGATTCCTTCGAGGAGGAACCCAGCGATGATGGCCCCGTATACTGTGTACCCCATGAAGGTAAGTCGTTACACACACACACACACACACACACAGAGAGAGACGCACAGACGGACACAAGGACGACAGACCTGTCTAAACAATGTGTGCCCCATGAAGGTGAGTCATCAGGAAAGAACAATAAATACCGTGATTAGCCACAGCTACTCCACAAATAAACACATCCAGGCACGTACGGATGCATGCACACACACACGTTCACACACAAATGTTTGAACACACACTTGGAGTGGGATTTGTTTGTCACAAAGTGGAAAGGAAGAATATGTCCTAGGATGACTGAGCACTGAGTCACACACTTCTGCAAAGCTAATTAGAGAGATAGGATAGTTAGTTATCCTTATCGTGTGCCATCGAGCCCTGTCCCTTGTGTTGATGTGAAACCATAAACAGGAAATATAATGGTAAAGTCATCCAATTCATGAATCACTCCTTGTAGTTTGGCGGAAAGCATCATGGCCTTCAGTTTATCTTTATTTTAGCTTAGACTCCCATTTAGTTTATTGTTTTTGGAGGTCTCAATATTTATTTATATTATTCAAGAAGATAAATATGATGTACACTCATTGTAAATAATGTAAACATGCCTCACATATGCATGCTTTATCCCTGATGATGCACTAATACTGTATATGAAGAGTTTCATTAAAAACCGCTATATATCCATTTTCAGAAACGTTGGTAAATTAGCTTTCAATGTTTAAAGAAATTATGAAAGAGATTGCTGTGTTTTTCCACTATCTAATCATGGCAATGACAGATATGTACAGTGGGGAGAACAAGTATTTGATACACTGCCGATTTTGCAGGTTTTCCTACTTACAAAGCATGTAGAGGTCTGTAATTTTTATCATAGGTACACTTCAACTGTGAGAGACGGAATCTAAAACAAAAATCCAGAAAATCACATTGTATGATTTTTAAGTAATTAATTTGCATTTTATTGCATGACATAAGTATTTGATACATCAGAAAAGCAGAACTTAATATTTGGTACAGAAACCTTTGTTTGCAATTACAGAGATCATAGGTTTCCTGTAGGTCTTGACCAGGTTTGCACACACTGCAGCAGGGATTTTGGCCCACTCCTCCATACCTTCTCCAGATCCTTCCAGTTTCGGGGCTGTCGCTGGGCAATACGGACTTTCTGCTCCCTCCAAAGATGTTCTATTGGGTTCATGTCTGGAGACTGGCTAGGCCACTCCAGGACCTTGGGATGCTTCTTAGGAGCCACTCCTTAGTTGCCCTGGCTGTGTGTTTCGGGTCATTGTCATGCTGGAAGACCCAGCCACGACCCATCTTCAATGCTCTTACTGAGGGAAGGAGGTTGTTGGCCAAGATCTCGCGATACATGGCCCCATCCATCCTCCCCTCAATACGGTGCAGTCGTCCTGTCCCCTTTGCAGAAAAGCTTCCCCAAAGAATGATGTTTCCACCTCCATGCTTCACGGTTGGGATAGTGTTCTTGGGGTTGTACTCATCCTTCTTCTTCCTCCAAACACAGCGAGTGGAGTTTAGACCAAAAAGCACTATTTTTGTCTCATCAGACAACATGACCTTCTCCCATTCCACCTCAGGATCATCCAGATTGTCATTGGCAAACTTCAGACGGGCCTGGACATGCGCTGGCTTGAGCAGGGGGACCTTGCGTGCGCTGCAGGATTTTAATCCATGACGGCGTAGTGTGTTACTAATGGTTTTCTTTGAGACTGTGGTCCCAGCTCTCTTCAGGTCATTGACCAGGTCCTGCCGTGTAGTTCTGGGCTGATCCCTCACCTTCCTCATGATCATTGATGCCCCACGAGGTGAGATCTTGCATGGAGCCCCAGACCGAGGGTGATTGACCGTCATCTAGAACTTCTTCCATTTTCTAATAATTGCGCCAACAGTTGTTGCCTTCTCACCAAGCTGTTTGCCTATTGTCCTGTAGCCCATCCCAGCCTTGTGCAGGTCTACAATTGTATCCCTGATGTCCTTACACAGCTCTGTGGTCTTGGCCATTGTGGAGAGGTTGGAGTCTGTACGATTGAGTGTGTGGACAGGTGTCTTTTATACAGTAAACAAGTTCAAACAGGTGCAGTTAATACCATTAATGAGTGGAGAACAGGAGGGCTTCTTAAAGAAAAACTAACAGGTCTGTGAGAGCCGGAATTCTTACTGGTTGGTAGGTGATCAAATACTTATCTCATGCAATAAAATGCAAATTAATTACTTAAAAATCATACAATGTGATTTTCTGGGTTTTTGTTTTAGATTCCGTCTCTCACAGTTGAAGTGTACCTATGATAAACATGACAGACCTCTACATGTTTGTAAGTAGGAAAACCTGCAAAATCGGCAGTGTATCAAATACTTGTTCTCCCCACTGTATTTGTTTAAAATCTATTACTTGATGGTTTAATTTCAGAGAGACAAATTATCATGTTTTTTTGCTAAATGCTAAATATCCGCCTCACTTTCAGAGAAATAAGTAGTACTGCTAGGTTTTACACAGTCAAATGTAACAAATAACTACATTTCTAATAAAGAAATGTACAAGTTATACATTTGTGACTTCAATATTAAAACACTTTTTTTATTTTTTATAATTCAATACAGTAATATGAGATCTGTATGTAAAACATTTACATTTGACATTTTTGTCGTTTCGCAGATGCTCTTTGTCAAGGCGTGTAGTATGGTGTAGTGTAGGAATCAAATGCAGGACGCAGACTGAAGGTTCCAAAAGCTGTATTTCTAGCCCAACACAGGCAACAGGACAACTAAGCCCGACAGCTAAACCACGCACGAAGGCGAAAGGCAAATGCGCACTAACAGGTGCGACAAAATGAAACGGTGCACACACAAGTGCAACTAAGCTCCAGCACAGTGGAGAAATACGCTCAACCGAGCAACACACAACACTGACGGAAACAATCATACACAACACTAGACAAACACAACGAGAAACTTATAGGACACTAATTACGTAAAACAGAAACAGGTGTGGAAACAAACAGACAAAAGCAAACGAACATGAAACATCTATCGGTGGCAGCTAGAATTCCGGAGACGACGAACGCCGAAGCCTGCCCGAACAAGGGAGAGAGGCAGCCTCGGCCGAAACCGTGACAGTACCCCCCCCTTGACGCGCGGCTCCAGACGTGCGCCGACTCCGGCCTCGGGGACGACCAGGGGGACGCGGCGCAGGGCGCGTCGGATGCCTCCGATTGAACTCCGTCAGGAGCGACGGGTCCAACACGTCTCTCCTCGGCACCCAGCACCGCTCCTCCGGACCGTACCCCTCCCACTCCACTAGATACTGGAGACCCCCCATCCGACGTCTCGAATCCAAGATGGATCTCACGGAGTACGCCGGTGCCCCCTCGATGTCCAACGGGGGCGGAGGAGTCTCCAAGATCTCATCTTCTTGGAGTGGGCCCGCTACCACCGGCCTGAGAAGGGACACATGGAACGAGGGGTTAATACACTTAAACTCCACAGGTAGCTGTAATCTATAACATACCTCGTTCAACCTTCTCAGGACTTTAAATGGCCCTACAAACCGCCGACCCAGTTTCCGACAGGGCAGGCGGAGGGGCAGGTTTCTGGTAGAGAGCCAGACTCGATCACCAGGTGCGTACACCGGTGCCTCACTGCGGTGGAGATCAGCGCTCGCCTTCTGACGTCGGAGGGCCCGCTGCAGGTGGACGTGTGCAGCGTTCCAAGTCTCCTCCGAGCGCCGCACCCACTCATCCACCGCAGGAGCCTCGATCTGGCTCTGCTGCCAGGGTGCCAGAACCGGCTGGTAACCCAACACACATTGAAATGGAGTTAGGTTAGTGGAGGAATGGCGAAGGGAATTCTGGGCCATCTCGGCCCAGGGAACGTACCTTGACCACTCCTCCGGCCGGTCCCGGCAGTATGTTCTGAGAAACCTACCCACATCCTGGTTTACGCGTTCCACCTGCCCATTGCTCTCCGGGTGGTAACCCGAGGTGAGGCTCACCGAGACCCCCAACCGCTCCATAAACACTCTCCAGACTCTGGAGGTGAATTGGGGACCCCCGATCAGCCACAATGTCCTCGGGTACCCCGTAGTGCCGGAACACATGGGTAAACAGTGCCTCGGCAGTTTGCAGGGCCGTAGGAAGACCCGGCATGGGGAGCAAACGACAGGCCTTAGAGAACCGGTCCACAACGACCAGGATGGTAGTATTCCCTTGGGAGAGGGGAAGGTCTGTTATAAAGTCCACTGAGAGGTGGGACCATGGCCGTTGTGGAACGGGCAGGGGTAGCAACTTACCCCTAGGTAGATGTCTAGGCGCCTTACACTGGGCGCACACCGAGCAGGAGGAAACATAAACCCTCACATCCCTAGCCAACGTGGGCCACCAGTACTTGGCACTAAGACAGTGCACTGTCCGGCCGATACCCGGATGTCCAGAGGAGGGTGACGTGTGAGCCCAATAGATCAATCGATCCCGAACCTCGAGCGGAACATACTTCCGACCCTCCGGGCACTGTGGTGGACTAGGGTCGGTGCGTAACGCCCGCTCGAGTTCAGCATCGACCTCCCACACTACCGGTGCCACCAGACACGACTCAGGCAGTATGGGAGTGGGCTCCACGGACCTCTCCTCCACGTCATACCGCCGAGACAGCGCATCTGCCTTGCCATTCTGTGACCCAGGGATGTACGTGATCTTAAACGTAAACCTGGTCAAGAACATACTCCATCTTGCCTGGCGAGGGTTCAGCCTCCTCGCCGCCCGGATGTACTCCAGGTTACATTGGTCCGTCAAAATGAGGAAAGGGTGTTGAGCCCCCTCAAGCCAGTGCCTCCACACCTTTAGAGCCTGTACCACGGCTAACAGCTCCCTGTCCCCTACGTCATAGTTCCGCTCCGCCGGACTGAGCTTCTTAGAATAAAAAGCACAGGGGCGGAGTTTAGGTGGCGCGCCAGATCGTTGTGAAAGCACGGCTCCTAAACCGGCCTCCGACGCGTCCACCTCTACTT